CTTGAGCGAGAGAGAAGCACCCACATGTCCACTCACGCCGGGAAGATGGCCGCGAAGGAAAGGTAAAGGAACTCTCTTCTTTATCGTGTAACATCGCCTTCGTCTTCAATCTTGGCGAGTTAGCCATACGTATATAATGCGTGTGTATATAATAACTTTCGGTTGAATAAGTTTAGGGTAATGGCGAAAAGTGAATTTTGTTAAATTCGAAAGGCCTTCGGTATGGTGTGTATAGCATGGTAACATTTGTGTATGTTAGTAATGTCTACAATTCAATATTAACAAGATGCCAGAGTTAAATTCGTTATTAATACGAATAAGATGTATGACAATAATGAATTATCAATTCAGTCCGTTTTGTTTTATATTTATTAAAGGAATCGACCATGTGGCAATATGTTCACTATAAGCATTTTTATTATTGTTTTGTAGATAGGGTGTATATAGACCTATAGTTTTCTCAAACGATGCAATAAAACAGTTGTGAAACTATTGTGAAGATAACGGGCTGTAGTGACAGAAAATAAGATTTGTATAAGATTTAAACTAAGAACAGACATTTTTTGCTGTTGTAGTTTGGTGTTCTTAAGCATTTTTTGCGACAATTGTAGCTAATAAGGGCATATTAATAGGCCTATAAACTAGCACAGAGCAAAGGGGACTGAAGCACATGCATTGTCACACGAGAACCATTTTTTAACTAACAGTACTGATCTTTTTTTTTTTTTATTTTTATGACTAATACTAGATGTCAAATATTCTTTGATTGCTAATTTTATGTTGATTTGGGATTTTAATTTATGCTCATTTTTAGACATGACCATTATACTAGAATGAGTAACTTTTCCTTTGTATTCTTTAATTCTTCATCCATAATTTAATTCTTCATCCATAATTTAATTCTTCATCCATAATTTAATTCTTCATCCATAATTTAATTCTTCATCCATAATTTAATTCTTCATCCATAATTTAATTCTTCATCTTCATCCATAATTTAATTCTTCATCCATAATTTAATTCTTCATCCATAATTTAATTTTCTTAATTTAATTCTTCATCCATAATTTAATTCTTCATCCATAATTTAATTCTTCATCCATATAATTTATCCATAATTTAATTCTTCATCCATAATTTAATTCTTCATCCATAATTTAATTCTTCATATCTTCATCCAGAATTTAATTCTTCATCCAGAATTTAATATCCAGAATTTAATTCTTCATCCAGAATTTAATTCATTCATCCAGAATTTAATTCTTCATCCAGAATTTAATTCTTCATCCAGAATTTAATTCTTCATCCAGAATTTAATTCTTCATCCATTTTAATTCTTCATCCAGAATTTAATTCTTCATCCAGAATTTAATTCTTCATCCAGAATTTAATTCTTCATCCAGAATTTAATTCTTATCCAGAATTTATTCTTTCATCCAGAATTTAATTCTTCATCCAGAATTTAATTCTTCATTCCAGAATTTTAATTCTTCATCCAGAATTTAATTCTTCATCCAGAATTTAATTCTTCATCCAGAATTTAATCTTCATCCAGAATTTAATTCTTCATCCAGAATTTAATTCTTCATCCAGAAATTTAATTCTTCATCCAGAATTTAATTCTTCATCCAGAATTTAATTCTTCATCCAGAATTTAATTCTTCATCCAGAATTTAATTCTTCATCCAGAATTTAATTCTTCATCCAGAATTTAATTTATCCAGAATTCTTCATCCAGAATTTTTCATCCAGGAATTCTTCAGAATTCTTCAGAATTTAATTCTTCATCCAGAATTTAATTCTTCATCCAGAATTTAATTCTTCATCCAGAATTTTCTTCATTTCTTCATCCAGAATCTTCATCCAGAATTTAATTCTTCATCCAGAAATTTAATTCTTCATCCAGAATTTAATTCTTCATCCAGAATTTAATTCTTCATCCAGAATTTAAGGGGGGGGTGCTTTGGTATATAAAGGGACCCAAATTCTTTACGCGAGTGGTGGTCCTCTCCCAGTGTTAACAGGGTCAGGCCATTCCCTTGCCCAGAGATCGTGCTGAAGTGCAAGTGTGAAAACCGATTTTGACGATTTTGAATTTTTACATGTAATGGTAAATAATGTGCTTTTGATAATATATGAACATAGCTTGGGGGGGGTCTTGTATATTGGGGAAAAGTATTGGGAAAAGTGTTCGAATTGGAGAAGGATGTGTAATTTTCTATTTTTCTTAAATACATTGTTCTTTGTAGATACAAGACAAGTTTACGAAAGTTGTGAAAGATGGGTTTGATATGCATTTTTTTGAATAAGTAGATAAAGGGGAAGTTGAAAATCCCACTAATCGATTACCAGGTATTGTACCTCTTTGTCTTACCTGGGTTTGTCAATAGTGGCAGAGAAAAAAAGGGTTTCCAGCGGAACCTGATGTTTTCATCTTGGGTCTTCCTAGAAAATCCTGACATTCTTAGCATCTAGTTTAAATTTCTTTTGAATTGTACAAACTATTTAAAGTCCGTTTTTTAAATAGATTTAAGCCTTCATTCATATTTACCAAGGAAATGTGATTACTAGTATTGCATTGTGCATTGCTCATAACTTTCTTTTAATTCTGAAATGTTGGTCTTTCCAGGTTCTGGAAGCGGAAGCTGAAGCTGAACAAAATGTTCATCTGTATACAAGGTAAGAAATGGATATTTATGCACGTACAGGATGATATACCACTAATCGATTACCAGGTTATGCACCTCTGTCTTACCTGGGTTTGTCAATAGTGGCAGAGAAAAAAAGGGTTTCCAGCGGAACCTGATGTTTTCATCTTGGGTCTTCCTAGAAAATTCTGACATTCCTATCAAAGCATTTTGTACCTTTTTGTAAATGTAAGTGTCTTGTAGTTGTGTGGTTGTAATATCCAGTTTCTAATAGCTGTGTATTTTCAATATACTTGCTGGTAATTATAAAATTACAAAGATTTTAATCTTTTATATATATTTTTTTTTTTTTTTTTGAGGTGGGAGGGGGAATTAAGGACAGATCAAATAATATAGGATGGATAACTTTGACAAATGCCATGTGAAATCTGCAGTGGAAAGTATAGACGAATGGTGCATTTACCTTGCACCTACATTTGTTGGCTAGTTCAGTGCTGCCATTTTGTAGTAACTGTCAGCCTTCAAAATGGAAGTTGATTTTGATTCCTTCAGAAATGAATTTCCTTTTTGATACTTAGTTTATATATGCACTTACAACTTTGCATTTACAGCTTTGTGGAAGTTTATAACAAGCTTGCTTGCTTGCTTAAAGTTAAAACCAAATATCAATTTATTAAACATGTAAAAAAAAATGTGCCAATGACTAATACATAGCAACTCCATATCCAGTGGAGTCTAAATCCTTCTTGTATGCCAGAGGTCAGTTTTAATGGTTTTAATTTTCATTTTTCAGGACTTGCAGGATGCAGCTAAAGTGTTTGGATTATACCACTAACAAGTGGCTTAGGTCCTACATTTCTGAATGCCCAGGCTTTGGTAAGTTGAATAATTATTTTGCAAATTATTGATGCAGTTTGTTAAAGATTGTATATTTCATTATTTAATGAATAATTGTATGGAAGGTAACTCTCCGTATGTTTTGCATTTGTCTAATAGCAGCTTTGTTTTAATACTGATTGCTAAGAAGAAATTTAGTGCTCAGATTTTTTACATGGAGGAACCAATTTGATATTTTTACCATTACGTTCATGGGGCCACAATTTTTAAATCGATATACTGATGAAATGGGAGGGTTCGCAAAATTTTGTCTGAAGTTTCAAGATTGAAATATCTCCTGCCTGTCTGATTTTTAGATAGAGAAATCTATCTTTGCAGTAGATGTAACATGGCAGTAATCCAATTTTTTCCAATTCCAGATATGAGGCATAGAGCATGGAATTAAAGGTAAGCTTATTTTCATTAAGTGGTAAACATGTTAATACACATGATGAATATTTTACAAACTAGAGTCTCCGAATTAGTATGAGGACAGCAGCAATCTGAAGAATATTAGAACCTGGTACATCGATACTTTCTGCCAATTTTCTTAAATTTGACTTTAATTTCAGGTGTGGTCCATGTGGAAAGAATTGGAAAACTTTCAATGTAAATTTTGAAGACCGTCTGTCTGTTTGATAGGTAAGTTCAAGTATTTTAGGAAAACCAAAAGTATTTAATGATGACATTAAGATAGGGACATATGATAAATGTGATTATTTATCAGTGGGAATCTTTCTGAAAGTAATCTATTATTCGTATTTTGTTTAGAAGAAAATGGTTAGTAACCAACCTTTCTATTTACAGATGGCAAGATGACTTTCCTTGAACTTGGAGGATCTCTCCCATGTTTCAACTCCTTGAGAAACTATAGAAAGGTAATGCCAGTCTGTCAGCTTTGGACCTTTTCAATATAACTACTATAATGATGACAAGAAGATAGGGACATATGATAACTATGATTATTTATCGTTGGGAATCTCTCTGAATGTATTATGAAAAACATTAAAATGAAGTTAAAGTTAAGTGAATGTTGCTTATATTGTTTGCTTGTTGCAGGGAGGCTGAATGTGCAGCTAAGGACCTTGCTGGAGTGAATGTAAGTTATTTGCCAATATGATCCTATAGTTATCTGAAATACTTGTATTATGATGACAAGAAGATAGGGACATATGATAATTGTGATTATTTATCGTTGGGAATCTCTCTGAATACATTAGTACTTTTAAAAATTGATGCAAGCTTGTATACTATTTCTAATGAAAATTATCTGCAGGTTGTGGATACATACTTTGGGAAAGCCGATATGAGCTGGCACTGTAGGTGTCCTGTGGCAGCAAGCAAGTACAGGTCAATGTGGCCAGATTTTTAGATTAAACAAGTTGCTGCTTCAGTGAAGACCCTGTAATGAAGTTGCTCCTGACTGCTGACCAGTACAGATTTTGGATGGAAGGTAAATATTTTCTCATTATGTTATAAACTGCTGCCTTCCAAATGGGCTTTTTATGATGACAAGAAGATAGGGACATATGATAACTATGATTATTTATCGTTGGGAATCTCTCTGAAAGCACTTGGTCTAAAAATGCAAAAGATCTGTGAACTTCTTGTTTATATAATAGAACAAATTCTTGCAGATGCTCTATCACCACTGCAGAAAATAGACCAGAGAATCCTTTCCTCAAAGGTTTGTGCTAAACCAGATGCTGAAAGCTGCAGTTCATAAGATAGAAGATGGAACAAATGATTTCTTGACTGTTCCGTTATGCATCAGGCCCTGTGTGTAGGTAAGGTTTCAAGTGTTTTTTTGGATTTTCAGTTGTACAATGCTAGGTTTTAAGATTTTATGTAATACAAGTAGTGTAACCGACAGGCCCGCTACTGGTCCCTAAAGTTGTAAAATGTGATATATATGCACATGTCAGCATCTGGTGTGACAAGACTGCTATCCAGATTTTTATTTTGTGCAAGATAAAATCTGATCCCCCGTTTGAGCAAGCTGCATCTTGCTGCAACACTTAGTATCAGAAACATTGGAATATATTTTAATGTATAACCATTTTTATTTGGTGTGTCTTGGGACTTATTTTTGTTTAATGCTTTCAGATCCATCCCAGTTGTATGTCGCAGGAATGGGGTATAATAAGGTTCGTTGATTATTACATTCTTGACAGTATAATTTTGACTGAAAATGATGCTTTACACTATCTTTCGGCTGACTGCCATTGATGATAACTTTTATACTGAACAATTATTTTTCTTTCATTATAGTACTTTTGTTACTTGGAATTTGATTTTAATTTTATTCACTTCTAGGTTTCAGATGGAGTTGCTGTAGATGTATCATATGCTGAGATCCTGGCAGTGGCTGGCAAGGCTGTGAATCCTGTTCTGGAAATGCCTTACATTTGATGTTAGTCTTTAGAAGATTTGAGGAGACAATGCCAACCAGGATATTTCAGTGTTGGAACAGTTTGTACCGACATTGCTTCAGATGCTCAAGGCTCTGGCAGTCCTTTTTTTCCACTGCTTGTAAAGTTAACAAAGGTCTTGGTAACCTCTAGACTGGTTGAAGATTCTGAATAAATGTTCATAAATTATTCCTGGAATTTTTTTATCCTATGTATATTTTAAATGTTAGAATAGAAAATACCTGGTTAAATCTTTCTTGCCTGACGGCATTGGAAACTGCAATATTGAATGAAGTTTTTAACATCAAGACCAAAAACGTCCAAAAACTTCTGTAGTAGAATAAAAAATTTGAGTGTTGGTGAGGAGCATGCTTGTATTATAATGTCGGAAACTTTATACCCGCCCAAGGCCCATCCATAAGCTTCTTGTCTTTGTAGTTTTCTTTTTAATAGGTTAATATAAGCGCCAAATATCAAAGTGGCGCACAGTTTTAAGTACTGATTATTAAATTTGATAGTGACTTAATATACCCTTGGCATGCTACCTGTTCATGAATTACTTTGCGAGTGTCCCTGGGCCCCCACCCCCTATCCTATGCCCGATGTGGAGCTTGGAAGACTGGGCTTCAACTAATTTTTGCATAGCCTCTTCACATTTTTTCACCATCTACTGTTCACATTCTAAAGGGTGGGTCGTGTTTGAAAGGATGAAAGGTGGCCATATCAGTCCTGAACGGCCTTACTCGGTTTGCTCTTCCTCTTTACCTTTCTCACTACCATACTAACCTAGTCTTTATCTGACGTGTATTGTCCTATGTTTCTACCACAAAACTGTCATAATGCTGCATGACCGTTCCTTACCCGGGCTTGCTCCCAATCCTCGCCCTTATTTTTATACGCCGTTTACAAATTTAGATATTGACGCGGCTTAGTTTTTAATAAATCGATCAACTGACATCCCCCCCCCCCCCAATCCAATTCCTTGCTTGTTTGGAGGGGGGGTGGGGTAAGAGATGGAAATTGAGCCCCAACGTAGGGGATCACCTAAACCTGGACTTAAGCCTGCTTCGTGAAGCAAGGTTATTTCCCTCCCGTCCTTTCTTCATCCCCCTTCTGTCCACCTAAAATGAAGATTTGTCGGTCCTGAAGATCATCTTTTTCACTACCATACTAAACTACAGCTCTACAACCTTTGACATCTTACATTGTCTTAATCATATTAATTATCTTAATGCTGTATACCTCCCTATTCCCAGGCCCGTTGTGGTCGTAGACTGGGGGCTTAAGATACGGATGGAGGCAAAATTTAGCCCTCCCCTAATGGGGACCTGCCCTTAAACTAATATTGCCTTCATACTGTTTCTATTTTCCTCATTACCCTGTTCACTACCTAAACAGTTAACGATTATAACTTTTTACAATACTGTATCTGTGCTGTATGACTTCCTGGGGCTTTGCACCCAAGCCTTGCCCTATTGCTATTTTGTACATCACTAATGACCTTAAATTTACACGGCAGAAAATACTAAGACCATCTAGAAACAACTGGGTGCAAGAACTTTCAATATAGGTTTCTGTACGATGACCAGTTCTCAAAACCCCACAAGAGGGTTAAAAGCAAAATGTGTTAGTATAATCACAATTCCAACAAGAGTACACTATGGTGCTAAAGGATTGTTTCTTAGTGGGAGGGGGAAAGTGCCATAAAAGGGGTTTCCCGACAAAATGCATTGTTTATTTGCACCTTCCTCGTTTTACATAATGGTACACATTAACCGTGGTGCCTGTGCTAGCGTCCGACATCAAAGGGTTAAGGGTGTCATTGACTACCTTGTGCGTCTGGCAATGGCACTGACCTTAGTGGTTTCCCATTAAATGTGCCAGTTGGCCAACAGACTCACTTTGGGCAGTGTATGACCGTTTTAACATGGAAGTGAAAGAAGTCAAGAGAACCTAAGGTTTGAATTTTACAAAACAGTCCAGTAATCCAGAGTATACTACACAATAGTTTAAAAGTTTACTTTCTTATCTCGCCAGGTCTTCGGATTTTAAAAACTTTCTACAATGACTGCATTGAAGCTAGGGAGTAATGCATGTAAATCCTAGCACACAAGATTTTCCACTAAATTAATTAGTAACATATCAGAATCTTTATATAAATATCAGTTAACATTTAGTTGATAGCGTCTTGGGTATTAAATTTCTAGACTCCAATCTATATTTAAGCTTCTCTTGGGCTAGAGGCTTTCTACCTTAAAATGCAGATTATCAAAACACATTTCATCATCATAATTTATTTTGGATAAAGATACAAAAATATTTTCATAGATAAAGTACAGCAAAGGCTGCCACTGTTGCTGCAACAAATCTGAAATGAGAAAATAAAGTTTACTAACCAAATTTTAAAATTTAAACAAATTACACATTTTTGTTTATCAGTAAGAAAAGATTTCATCAATGGCAATCAGCCGAAAGATAGTGATAAGCATCATTTAAACTTAGTGAAATATTTGCCTTGCTATGTTCAAAGTGCAGACCAATCAACTTATTGTAAGATACTTTTGAATAATGCTTATAAGAAAGTTCTGCTTTTATTTGGATGATAAATCAGGAGATCAATTTTAGGAAACGATGCTGATGTGCCAACATTATATTCACTACTAAAATAGGTTTTCATATCTTATTCCCCAGATATCAGTTTTCAAAACTGAATTCTTTAAACCCGATCTCGGGTAAAGTGCCCCAGCTTTTGGATAGCTTGAAAAGGAGTAAAGACTATCGAACAATCTTACCTTGTAAGACAAGAATGGTTCCTTTTTAAATATAGAAAATTCAACCTGCAAAGAGAAAAAATGGCGTGTTATTAAAATGGTCATAATGATTAAGATGGTGGATACAGCTTTTTAACAATGTATCACATTTCCTGAGGTAGATGTCCAAATCATCTACCTACAGTAGGTCACGAGATTTTGTCTACCCCAATTTACTGACCAGAACTTCTACAGAAGAAAACCCTGTGGATGAACTGGGGCAATTGCATACATTTTGTTCATCATACAAAATAAACTATTTATGTAGATTATCCAATTTCAAAACTTTTAGAAACAAATTTTACTCACAAAAGCAGTGCAGACTTGTTGAGCTTTGCTGTACCATCTTATTTCACTTTAGGGTTTGGTCATCGCCATCTGCAAAAGATTATGCAATACAGTCAAAAGGTTACATACACATGCTCTATAAACAAGATATCAAACCTTTTTTGTCAGCCAGGCAGGAGATATTTCATCACATATTTCAGCTTAAATATTGCGAACCATCTCCAGTTTCATCCTTCCAGTAATTAAATGGAATTAAGTAGGTCAAAAGTAGCAACAGTTATTTAATAATAAAATTAAATCTAACCTAGCATATTTCTGCACTTCATTCTCTTACCTGTATGAGGGGGATTATAAAAGGTCCAACTGCTATATGGCAGGTGGGCTGAAGTTCATCTTGAAAAGACTGGTGGTACCATTTGAGGACAGGACAGAAGTTTCCAACTTTCCTTTGAAGCAAATGTGGTATACAAGGGGCCTCACCCTACTAAGATCACCCTGGAAAGGTTTCAATTCTAATTAATACATACCTAGAATATTTTTTGAAGAAACTATAATTCAATAATCTGTGCAAGGGTTATCAGAGAAGACCCTAATATAAAATAGGGTCTGCTGATAACCCTCAAATTATCTTGCCACTTGTATACAACAGGAAAACATGGAAGCATTTCTCCTGCCCTTTGAGAATGGCGTAAATGCAAATATACATATATACATAAAAAAAATGTATTGTAGATACAAGAATCTCTTACCTAATAATTTAAAACTGATGTGGGGGGATAGAATGGAAGTCAAATCTACACCTTAAGAATTCTGCATTGTCTTGCAGATTCCAGATACCCTGAAAGTAATGCTACGAATTAGTACAGTAATTCATTGAAGTCTTTTTTTATTGACTGAATAAATGCAGTGTTTGGGTTATCTAGGAAGAACCGAGATACTGGATACAAGGCTCCGCTGGTAACCCTTATTTCTCTACCACTCTTGCAAAAGTAAGCAAACATAGGTAATACCTACTGATCGAGGGTGGCACAAGTAACAAATATAGATCTTACCACCTATACTTCAGTTAATAAAATAAAGCAACAAGAATTTTTAATATTGCATAATAATTACTGTATGCATTAAGATGAGAAAAACTTAATACATTTGAATTTTTTCTGAAAAGAATTGAAAAGATGGAATTTGGCTAAAAGAACTTATTGTAACTTGGTTTTCAGCTCAAAAACACAGATTAAGACTAATATAGAATACTTAGGAAGTTTATGCTTAATACTTTATGGCAAAAAGATTATTACAGTTGAAAAAGAAAACTTGCATATATATACCTTCAGCCTAGAAGTGTGCGCTGCTTTCCAGAGCCAGAATTACGTTCCACTGTAAAAGCAAAACTATTCAAACATTGCAACTTGCAAAGACAGCAGCTGCAGTAACTGCATTATATATTTCAGATAAAAATTATCCTCACACGAATTCAGAGACTCTAGTTTGGTAAAAAAGTTCATCATTTTACTTCATGAACATGCTTCAATCCCACTAACAAAAGTTAACACGCAAGAAATTACATCACAAATCTAAAGTTTCCAAGATTCTTACTTTTCTTCATGCCAGGTATCAAGAGCCCTGTCTGTAGACCTCTGTCTGTAAACTTCCAATCATCTGGAAATGGAAAAAAATAGATCAATCTAGTGCAATATGATTAGACAATCAAACTGTAATTAAAGACTTCAGAATTAAAATTGTCCTCACATTTTTCAGAGACTCTAGTTTGTAATATTCATCATAAAAAAAAAATCTTGTATATTTTACTTTAATGCTAAGCTACTTGTGCATCCTTACCTTTTCAAACCATCGAGGTGAAATACAAGGCTTCATCGCTAGAGGAAGAAGAAAGGGAAAGGATTAATACCATAAAATTGAAGATATTTTACACCCTTTATTTATATTTTCAGCTTCTAATTTCTCCTCACATAGTTTCGGAGACTCTAGTTTGTTGTGATTCATCATTCAGTAAATAACATGCACATTTCATTTTAACATTAAACAATTAGTTAAACTAGTCACTGGAAAGCAGAAAAGTTGTTACAACATAAACTAAACACCATTCAAATGGAGGGGGGGTGGGGGATACAACTTAAATGATGGAAGGTATTCAACAGTTTTACACTTTACTGCATCATCTCATCTGAAATGAGAACATTTTCATCACAATCCCTTACCATTTTAACCAAAAGTAACATCTGTTCCCATTTCCTAGAATTTCTACTGACAAATAACAGCTGGGAATTAGGCATGAATACTCTCCATATACACAAGAGTTGAATAATATTCTTTTATCTTTAAATAGCCTACCATAACGAGGCAAGATACAAAAATCTAATCATAAGGCAAGTATCATGCTTATGCTACCTGATCCATTTTCTTCTAAGCTCAGTGGTTTGGTCAATCTGCACACTCATCCATGATTTGCTTTTAACTTTTCACACAGTTCACTACCAGTCCTTTCCTTATCTTTCACTCTTCGCCTTGTTTCATCTCCCTGGCAACTTTCTTCACCCTTCTTGTCATACCACTTTTTTGCTAACCACTTCCCCTTCATGCTTTCCCGAGCTTCGTTATTCCAGCACCTAGTCTTTAGTTCCTTCCTCTGTTCAGAAGTCACACAAACTTCATTCCTACCAGTCTCTCTAACAATGGCTGCAGCAGTCCCATCCTGTTTCTCCTTGCTACCTGGTACTACTCTTGCTACCACCATTTTCCTTGGTTTAGCCCTCTCTCTCTCATTCAACAATCTCATCCTGCACACCAAAAGCTGATGGGGTCTAGCCAAGTCCTCCCTTAATATAACTTTGCAGTCCCCCATCTCTTTCAGGTCATATCTCCGGCACAGTATGTAGTCCACTTGTGCCCACTTGCCCTCACTCGCATAGGTGACCCGGTGCTTCTCTTCCTTCTTGAAATACGTATTCACCAGAGCCATTCCTAACCTCTTTGCAAAGTCTACCAACATCTGTCCCTCTGTATCCCTCTCCTGGACACCATATCTACCCATCACCACCTCATCACCAATGTTCCCTTCACCAACATTACCATTAAAGTCTGCCCCAATCACCACTCTTTCCATCTTCGGTATACTCTCCAGTAATTCACCTAAAGAATTCCAGAATTTTTTCTCTGCTATCTTGCAGCCCACTCGAGGGGTACATGCACTGATAATATTAATCACGAGTCCTTCAATCTTAAGCTTAACACTCAATGCCTTGGATACTTTCCTAACCTCCATTACACACTTACTATACTCTTCCTTCAGCATTACACCCACACCACTCTTCTCATCTACAACATGGTGGAAAAGCTTAAACCTCTCCCCCATGTTCCTGTCTTTCTCTTCCTCCCACTTGGTCCCTTGTAAACAAAGTACATCAAGTCGTCTCCTTTCCATCATATCAGTCAGCTCGATATCTTTCCCC